TACTCCCATGGGTCCACCACCAGGACGCTAATCAGGCGGGATCTCTCTGGAACCCAGAAGCAAGTTTCTGTCCCCAACCCTCTTCCTCCACCATCTCCTCTTTCTCTACTTCCTCCTCCTCTTTTGTTCAGTATTTTAATTTTATGTAGTGGCTACACAGTCATCTTATTAAATTTATGGCTACAAGTTTCAAACATAATCCTTTCTGAGCAAGTCTGTGGACAGAGAATAGTTTTAAATTACAACTCTTCTCACTGGAAAGAGCGGCTCACCCCTAATCCCAGGGACTGGGAGGCTGAGGCAGGAAGATCACTGGAAGCCAGGAGTTCCACACGGCCCTGGACAACACACAAGATCCCATCTCTATGGCAACATAGTGAGACCCTGTATTTTAAACATTAAAATATTAGCTGGTCATGGTGGTACACGCCTTTAGCCCCATCTGGGAGGCTGAGGCAGAGATTATTATTTTCAGTACCTTAAGATCAGAATGAGCATAGTTATCTTACATATAAAAACAATATGGTAGAATTGAAAGAAGATAAATTTAGGAAACTGGACAGACTGTTGTTTGTCTTAGATCTGCCATCTACAAGTTGTGCAGCTTTGAACAAGTGGTTTAAACTCTCAAGTTTATATTCTGTCCGCAAAGTTCCCTTTCCACTTGGAAAATTTAGTTTAATTGACCTTGCTAAGGAGCCCTTGAGTCCTCCCTCTGCACAGATGATTACAGGGCAGGCAGCCAAGCAGCTTGTCTAAGCAGTACAGGGTCTCCTGGAAGAATGTGACTAATGAACGTCCCTCAGCTTCTCCCTAGCATTCAAAAGGAAGGAGATTCGTTGGCATAAACTAAGGTGTCTGTGAGAATTACGTGGCACAAGAACGCATAAGAAGCCTCTTGAGAATTAAGAAAAAGAGAAGAAAGGCTGTTGGCCAAAGTTAAAACAGGTATCTTTAACCTGGGGTTTTATAAATAGAATTCAGGTATCCTAGATATATGAATAGGGAAAAAAGTGCATTTAACTAAGATTTAGCATTTCATTCTATTGTGAATGTAGCAAATAAAAAACAGTATCATTAATAGTATTTATGATTTTGTCATCAATAGAAATTAAAATAATTTTCTCTCATAGTTTTCTTATTTCAGATATCTCAAAACACAGAGGGTGCCAAAAAGAGTATACACATTTTAAGAGATGTTACCTTTGTATTACTTTTTGAAGTTGAATTGAGGAAACTATTACTGGTCAAGTGTACCTGGACACGCTATGCACATCTATTCTACCTGCAATTCATACATTTTGGGGGAATGATCGATTTTACTTCCAACAAGGTCTCTTAAAATGTGTATATAAATTTTTTGACACCTCTGGTATTGTTTACACTCATTATTTATCCTTTGAAATTATTCTAGTTATTAGAAATGCCACTAAACCTTGTTATTTGATACATTATGTGGAAAAACCTATACCAGACATTTGGGTTTTATTCCATTAGCTTCATCAGGGTGTTCAATATAATTTGTTCACTCATTAGTACTATGAATTTCATTTTGTGCATTTAAAATACTATATTTTGAGACAAGATCCAAAAACATCAATAAATCACCAAAAGTGCTGACAGCACATTAAGAACAAGGTCCTAAGCCTTGGACAGCTGCTTCGGAAATGCTGGTGACGATTTCTCTGGTCCCGGAACCCGGCTCAGTATCAGTGTTCTGGGAAATAATAACGAATGCAGCCAGTAGGCCAAAGAAAAGCCCTCGGTAGGGACTCAGGGCTGTCTACAGTTCCCCTGAGAATGTCCAAGAATGTGCATGGGAAGGAGAAGGACCTGTTCTTTGTCAGACACCAGATGGCAGCAAGAAACGTTTGTGTCTGCTCCACACTTGGGGACAGAAGTTGGAAATGGAACATCAAGGAAGCACCAAGGAGTCACTGGTCTTCATACCAGCCTAGCAGTTGAGTGCTTGGGTAGCTATCTATTTAAACCAATGGACCAAGTTATGTTTGTAAAATATAAAAATATGTCAAATTGCAGTGGGACAAAACAAGAAGGTAAGTAGGCACCTAAGGCAATGTCCAGAACAGAAATGCTGAAAATATTTTACCACTTTCTCCTTGGATCCCTCTGGATCCCTCAATCCTTGCCTCTTACCCCCTCCCCACCATTGAAGATACACACAGAGGAAGAGAGGCAATTTAAAAGCAGTGGTGATCCCATTGCATCCATTCTTTTGCTAATGAAGACAAGCAAATGCAAAATAAAGTTTCTACAACTAGTCACGTTTTAGAAATTAAGACAAAGAAATAATGTCACTTTCCTAAAACCACACAGAAAACTGAAGATCAGTCTAAGATAGAACATGGCTTACCCATTCCCGATTCTTCCCCACTGTGCCCCACTTACTGACAGTACGATTAGAGAGTTGCCCCTATAATTTCAGAGACAGACAAGGTAACAACTAAAATTTCCAGTTTGGCACCCCCTCCAGACTGTTCTTTTTGTGTTTAGGAATTGTCTGTCCAGAGTTTTTTTTTTTTTTTTTTTTTTAAAGGCTACTGGAATCTTTAGGGTCCCACGACCACGTGTCTGTCCTGCCAGATCTTTGGTTCTCAAGTTTCATAGTTTGAGCTTGATCCACAGTTTTGTTCCAGGGTGGAGATTCCAGTGGTTAAGTCCTCACTGATTAGAACAATGCATGAGCAGACAGCAATATGAAAGCTGCTGTTAAGATTCTGCATCTCCATAATTTAAAATGCAGTTTGTTATGGTAAGGCTGGTCCTCTCTCCCTTCCTTACACCATTGATTCAATTCACTCCAATGGTATTCATCAACTATGCAGTGTTAGGCATTGTACGACTCTCAGCAACATACGATGTACAAAAGAGACACAGCCCTGTTTCCAGGGAGCTAACAAGCCAGTAAGGGAAACAGCCATTTTTTTTTTTTTTTTAATTTCATGTAAGTACAAATGCTACATTAATATAACACACACAGCTCACTTTGCTGAATGTAAGAAAAGATCACGATTCCACAAGGGATAATGGTGAGAACCTGATTTAAAATGGGAAGTCAAAAAAATTAATAAAATAAAATGGAAAGTCGTGAAAGGCTTTTCCAAGGAAGTAACATTTTATCTGAAAACTGAAAGATGATTGTGTGGGGTCGGGGAGAGAAGGTTGGGAAGAATGTTCCAATTAGAGAGAACAGCTTGTGTGGACTGCTGAACAAGAGGAGTAATTCATTCCCAAAAGGTGCACAATCCAGGTTATTTCTATACAAAAGAGCAATATATCTAAACTCCTTAAAGTGAAGCAAAATCAGGAAACAGTTTCATCATCTGTATGAACAGAATCTTTTGCTCCCCGTAGACCATGATTGCTGATCTGCTAGAAAGGCCACAGAGAAGGAGATGCCATAAGTCTTGGATTATTTCAAATACTGCATCACTTTATCAAACAGTTTACAATCACACTGATGTATGATATTGTTCAGGTGTCCTTGCAACGTATAATTTGTTCCTTGGCTTTCACAAGCTTATGTAGTTTATTAATAGAAACACTTTGCACTTATAACTTGCTGGAGTTCTCATAAACACTCTTTAGACCACTGCAAAACCAAAACTCAACGTGTGAGAGGTACACAAGTATTCCCATCACTAACCGTGGGAACGCAGTCCTGCTGTGCTGTGCTGTGAGGAACAATGGGAATACCGTTTTTTTAAAGTCTTTGAGTTGAACATTTGTAAAATTCCAGACTAAAAACTCACTGCCTTTTTTTTTTAAATTAACACGTGACATAGACCATGCCCTCACTGCCATCATTTCACTCTCTTGCTTTTATATTCTGCAAAGAAGCTTTTGCAAGAGCATCTTAGTGAAAGGAACTTTTTAAACTCCTGGCTCTAAGTTCGCAGAAGCAGGTCTACTCTACTATAAGAACCACCCCAGGCTTGGCGAGAACTCCTCCACCCATAGGGTCCTACTGAATTGCTTAGTACTTGTTTTACACTTGGCTCCCTCTCAGGATGACAGAATAGCTATGTCCCTCTTCATGCTTACTCTCTCCTTTTTAAAGACTAAAACATAGATCCCAGGGCATTTTCTATACTTATACTTATGTTCATATAAATTAGAATGAGGAGGCAAGTTAAACACGCTAAATAAACAAAACTGCTCCACAATGCTGAATATTTCCCAGTGCCCGTGGGACAATGTTCAGCATCTGGCATCATTCATACCGAATGGGAGGGCATTACAACCCCGTCCAGCTGCCATTACAGTCAGACTATCGTTATCTTTGCCACTCCCTCGTTTCCTTGACATCTCTTTTATCTTAAGGCTTTACTTCATAATCACTATTCCTCAGCACATGCTATGTTCTTCCAGGCCTCATGCTGTTCCCACTATCTGTTTTATTGGTGAAGCTTATTTATTTCTTAGTTCCCTCGTCTACATCACTTCACATGCCAATGTTCTTGGCCCCACGCAGAATAGACGGCGGCCTTAGTTATGTTCTCTTGCATTTCATGACCACTATTATCTTACTTGTTTTTATACAATAATTTTTGCTTGTCTTTCTCTTTTCCCAACTAGATTTTTAATTTCCTAAAAAAGCTAACAGATATATTTCACATTGTGTTTAGATGTCTGTTTCCCGTAGAGCCTAACACAGTGTCTGTCGTACAATAAGCACTCAAGAAGTACCTACTGAATTAAGTTAGAGGGGATTCTAGATATCTGTGTAATAGATCATTTTCATCATCTGGCTGCTCCCGATCATGTGGCATATTCTTCAAATTAGCATTTAGAATAGCAATCAGATTACAGAGCATGCTTTTTCTCCAATGGGTGTGGCATTATAATCGGTCCTTGTCAATTTTTATTCTTGCCACGTCTTTGGGGAGCCTAATTCCACACGCAGAGCAGTCCCCTGTTCTTATCAACACCTCACAGCCTGCGAGGCCCTCAGTGTGCGTCTGTCCTCCACCAGGAACATGAGGTTCAAATTCCCTCTCGTGGCCATAAGCCTGGAGGTTGCCATGATTGTTTTATTTGGATTATTTGTTCAGTATGAAACGGATCAGACTATTTTCCAGAAGCAAAACACCACCGGGCCAATGGACACAGGCAGATTCCTTGAGCTGTATCCTCGTGAGTAGGCAATTTACTGCTTTCATACATTTTTTGGTTCCTTGGGTCCTCAGAGTATGAAATTTTTGAACACTGTAAGTTCTTGAGCTCCTTGTAGAATGAGACGATACTCATGAGTACAAATGTTTCTGCAGCGGTATCTGGTTGTCTTCTCTGTGATTAAGGTGTTTGGATAAGACCTGCGTCTATTAAAATATGAGAACAAGAAACTGAAATTTAAAATACTTGATGAGTTTTTGTGTTATCTGCCTGCTGCTAAATGAGTTCTCCTTGAGTTGGTCACTAGTTCTGCAAGAAAAAAGTTTCACAAACTTCTTACCCACCCCACTCACCAAAAGAGCCAAAGGTAAATCTGTAAGGGAGAGCAGAAATGAGAAATTGAGTAATAAGAAGGAGAGCCTAGATTTGAACACCTTAGGAATTCCTAAGGTATAAGAGCAGGTGTTTAAGATGGCATAGGAATGGAGTTTGAATCTAAAAAGATGTACTCAGGGTTTTAAAATATTCTGAAAAGTGGTCACTTTGTTCTTTTTTGATGAACAGAAAAGTGTGGGTGCCTACAATTCTTTTCAAACAGAAAAGAATTATTTTCTTCCCTGGGAATAGTAATTTCAGGTTTCTAGTTTCAGGTTTGGCAGAACAGGCTATAAAACAATACAACAATAACTACCACTTACTGAGTGCTTACTATGAGCCAGACATAATGCTCCCTCTTTAACCAGGAAGGGAGATGGGAATATATCATTAATAATAGATTGTTTTTCTTAAATAAGGCCCAAATAATTTTTAAAATATAAAAATTATTTTAAACAGCAATGTTTATTACATCTAGGACATATTCTAAGTTTTTAAAAACAATTTGACACTTGTTTTTTTAGTCCTACATTTTTTGAAGGCGTTAATGTAATGAAGCTACTTTCATGTAGAAATGATGACTTAGCAAAAATACAAAATTGAAAGTTAAGGGCAGAGTTAGCCTCACAAGTGGGAGCCTCAGACTCCAAGTCTAGTTGTCTTGACAATGTATAGATATCCATGAAATTTCTTCACTAAGTAAATTTTATAATTTGTAAGTTAACAATAAAATAGAACATAATTCTGTTCAATTCAGTGTGATTTTATAACTTTCACTTATTCATCCATTTATTCATTTAATAAATATTTTCACTGAGTACCAAATACATTATTAGAGAAAATTTGTTTTATTTTATTTTATTTTTGAGACAGTCTCACTATGTTGCCCTCAGTAGAATGTTATGGTGTCACAGCTCACAGCAACCTCAAACTCTTGGGCTTAAGAGAGTCTCTTGGGTGGCACCTGTGGCTCAAAGGAGTAGGGCACCAGCCCCATCTACTGGAGGTAGCGGGTTCAAACCCAGCCCCTGGCCAAAAACTGCAACCAAAAAAAAAAGAGAGAGAGATTCTCTTGCCTCAGCCTCCCAAGTAGTTGGGACTATAGGCGTCTACCACAATGCCTAGCTATATATATATTTTTTTCTTTTTCCTTTTTTTTGGGGGGGGGGCTGTAGTTGTCATGGTTGTTTTGTCAAGTCTGGGCTGGGTTCAAACCTGCCAGCTCCAATGTATGTGGCTGGTGCTCTAGCTGCTGAGCTACAGGTGCCAAGCCTACAGAAAATTTATTAAAAGGTAAAACAAATACGATCCCTTTATTCTAAGACTCCACTTTCTGGTACACCTATAAAGAAAGAAATGAAATATACTAACATAAATAAAATGATGAAAATACAATCTAAGATTAATGTGATTCAAATGAAATTATCTTAAGACCTGAGTAGGTTAATAATCTGCATTATTTTGAGATGTACCTTCTAAGTTCCAGTGTCAAACTTCAACTTCTAATTAAAACTTCAATTCAGAATTTAAGATAAAAATCTGAGTTGGAAGTATGTTCCTAAATATGACCTTTTTCAATAGCCTAGCAATAGAGGAATAATTTCTAGAGATTCGATGTACAGTATGTTGACGATAGTTAACAGTAGCGTGTTGTACAGATGCAATTCGACATTAAATTAAATCTCCCAGTAGATGTACACACACACTGGTAACTGTGTGAATGTGATGGATGTGTTAGCCTGACTATGGTGATCATTTCACTATGTGTATCAAAATGTTAAATTGCATACCTAAAATATACATCATTGTTATATGTCAATGATATCTCAATAAAGCTATTGAAAAAATAGAGCCGAGTCATCACATCACTCTTATATGCCACTTAGGATAATCATAGAAATTCATTCATTTTATGATTTACTAAGAAAACATTTATTAAGCTACCAATTCTTGTCAAGCAATCTTCAATGCATAGGCTCTATTCAGGGGGAAAAAGCAGACAAAACGTGAAAGTTCACATCCTTGGGAAGTTCACATCCTCATGAAGTTCATGTGCCAGCAGAGGAAGACAGAGTACAAACAAAGAGATGTGCATTTGGGGGTGCAGATAGGTGCGTGCCTGGATCCACACGAACACACACATTTAGACGGTAATAAAATGCCACAGCTATAAATGCAGCACGATTAGGGAAATAAATGCATCTGGACAAGGGGGAATGTCCTTGCTCCCTTTCTCAATCTGGGTTATGTGAGAGAACTAACTCCCAACAGCACAAGGCATCCACTGCACGCAGCTAAGTTACCTTTTCTTCATCGTGTATCTAGAACACCACAAAGTGAAGTTGTACGTGGAAGGCAGTTTTCATTCTCTCAAAATGCTGTCAGTATGTAACCCGGGCTACAGGCAGTTAAAACTTCTCTGTTATGTAAGAGTGGCTCTCAAGACCTAAATTCTGGCTAGTTTTAATCTTCCAGTTCAGCCATAATATTCCTGGTTAAAAACCGTTTGTAGAAGAGCCTGAGAAACTGCACAAATGTGGTTTGATATATATCTTTTGCCCTAGATTTCAAACAATTGGCATAGACAGAGTTTGTGTAACAGCACGAGTTACTGGTGAGCACATTATTACTGTTCATCATGAGGAAACAATCTTCAAGTCAAGTCAGCATTTCGGACGCCTCACCGTGGCAAATGCAGGGATTCAAACACAGGGAAGGCTGACTCCGGCCTAAGGTCACGGTGCATCACAGAGGTTCTCAATTGCAGTGTGATGAAAAGTGTTGAGGTTTTCACAACCAAGGAAAGTAGAATATGAACTTACATTTTAAATAAGTTAAAAAGGGTCCAAGCTTATTCTCCATCCCTCTCCCCTGTGTTTGGCTGTGCTTTTTAGAACAGTAGAGGAAGGGGGTGATGCTACACTCACTGCCTTTAGAAGCTGCACACCCCTCGGCGCCACCACAGAGTGTCTCAGATACATGAATTTCATGTTTCATGTCATGAACGAACCCTGAGATATTCATTTGAGAAACAAGCTATAATCTATGGTTTGGAGCTTTCTTGACAGCTAACAAATCGTCAGTCACTCTGTCAAGGCATTTAATTTGACAAGGACTGAAGCTTGACCGTGACTGTCAGCTAATCCTTACTAACATGGAGACAACTAGAGAAAATGACAATTTAAAGAGAATGACCTCTGAGGACTATTTACAGAGGTGTCTTTGATACCTAAGGGACACTAAAACAGTATCTTTTTGTACTCTGTGACGCTGAAATCCTTTAGTTTGTCTTGCAATTTGAATGGATTATTTACCCATACATGATTTTGTAATATTATACATTGTTCATTTGAAAAATACTGCATCATTGAGTTATACGGATCTTCCAAATGTTGACACATTTCATTACAAAATATCAGAAAAGGATATTTGTTAATATTGCCAACAGTCTTGCCAGAAAGCCCTTGTGAAGTACCAGAAAATTGACAAGCTTGTGGTAGACACAAATGTTCTAAAATTTAAATATTTAAAAACTCACAATAGATCATGGTAATAAATACTGTCAGTTTTTTAAATTGAGATGATTCCTCATTTCGGGCATTTTTCAGAAAATATTTGACACATGCCTTGTCTGAGAAATGACTTTTACATTAGTCTTTCTGTCAAGCAACGCAGAATTTCACTAAGAAGTTACTTGTTCCTCTTTTGACTCAATCAATCATAAAGGACTTTTTCTTCTGAGAAGCCATCACTTTCCAGCAGTGCTGTGCATGTGTGTGCATTTCAACATACTGATTTATACATATTGAAAAAACACGCATAAGAGGGTCAATAGTTGATAAAATTAACAGTTTTTACAGCTTCCCCTGGCATTTCTTAAGTAAAACTGGCTTTTTCCCCCACAAGTTTGTGGTGCTGAAGAACCACAACGAGAAGCGTGGATGCCGCTGCTTTCATGACGCTCAAGTGCCAGCAGTTTTACACGCCATTAATTCTTACCATCCGTGTAAATGTCATCATGAGTGAAAAAAAAAAAAAACCAGGATTATCATGGAAATAGTTTTAACCCCTCAGACTCCCTGCAAGTGCCTTCAAGAAACCCAGATGTCTCTGGATCTCACTTTTGGAAGTGAAGAGACAGGTACATTGGCAAGGGAGCTACACAGAACTCAAAATGACTTTACGACATGCCATACTAGAAATGAATTAAACATGATAATTTATTTTAAAACTGTATGGGTAAGAATCTGTCCTTGTATTTATTCAGCTTGTCTTTTGCTAAAAGACTTGGCAGGTCTTCGCGTGATGGGCAAAGTGTGGCTGGTTTGTGCAGTATAAGCAATTGCTCGGAAATTGATCACTGCCCTTTTGTTACCTCGTTATGATCTCGGAATTAACGATCATATTGTCTATAATGTATGGCCTGGGAGTAAGGCACCATCTCTAGCAGAACTCATAAAGTGCCTTTGAAGTGAATAGTTCAATGTAAATACTGTCTGTTTAAAAGACAGTGGAAGCAATGGGCATAACCAGGACCCAAACTCAAGGGCTTCTTAGAGAAATTGCTGATTCCAGGTCCCAGAAAAGAAACCGCCATGAATGGTTAAAGACTAATGGGACCATGAAAGAACATGCAATCCAGCATG